GTACCCTCTTTCACCCTATCTCATAATCACTCGGTGGAAATATAACGCCGTTTGGGTGAACATTTCCTTTAACAAAGTCTTCAGCGCCAGCCATGGTGGACAAGTTCCGATGAGGACTAGACAAAGAAACACTTCCGATCGACGACCTCGAGGCGTCGTTGCAAAATAGAGAGACCGAGTGAAGGAGGAGCGAGACTTTAGCGTTTTGTATGCAAATTGTAAAAGGAAAGGGAAACGTCTATGGTTTAACGACATCCCACATCTGGTGGGAAGTAGAAAATGAATTGTATTTAAATTAGAAGGCACTAAACATATAAATGAGACGGCATGCCTATGCATGGGCTTTGTGATTAGGCTTTGGTTTTGCGTCACCTATTTCGGTTCCGTTGCATTTAAGAGAAACCTGTTATTTTGTAAGAGAACCAAATGAAACTGTTCATATCAACAAAATTCTTCTTCGATTTATGTTCACTCATCCGATTCAATTTCTTGTTTCTACTTTAATTTTGTTTCGTTTGATTATATAATAATATTTATTATTATTATTATTATTATTATTATTATTATTATCTCGGATTAATTATTTTTTCTAACAATCTTAAGACATATTGTATATTTAATTTTACAATTCTAATCCGAAACGAAGTGTAATCTATATGTGTTGCTCAATACCTTTTATAACAATTTGCGTCTTTCAATTTTAAAGTGAAGCAAGAGAAAGGCGTGGTGGATAGGAAAAGATTTCGATGCCAAGGAAAAGGTTCCATCGATTCAAAATCTATTTGGAAGCAGCCTTTATTTTCTCGTTGAAGTCAAAGCCTCTGCTGATTCTATAAGACTTAGGCATATTGGAAATTGTTATATGTGATTTAAGCATCCACCTGAAAGTGAGGAATCCACGTCAATTGTAATCCCAAGTTTGCTTATCACTTGTTCATATAAGAACCTTTTGCATGTTAACATAACCCTTTTCAAGTTCCAAAATCAAGGGCAAACCTTAGTGATTTTCATCACATGAGAATTTTTTTAATGGAGATTTGGTGAATTTTGATAAAAAATCGAAAAGGTAAAAGAAATTAGTGTCCTGCGCAAAGTCTGCAAATTAGATTTTGGTACACGCAATTCAACGATACTATTACAATGATGAAAATAAGTCTTGGCCATCATACTCTAAACGAAAGGGTCTTGAAAAAATTCCAATTGATATGGAATGAATCGTAACGATGTCCTTCCATATAGCATGTTGGACAAAGGATATCTATCTTTGCAGGTTCAAGACATGTCGTTGCATGGAAAAGCAATTTGTAGTGCCTATGCAAATTATATACCAGTATTTGCGACAATGAAAACTCTAAATTTGCATTGCATCCAGACAAGTTGAGATCGACATCGCAAGATTTTAAATTCTTATTATTTTAATATTTAATGGTTACGGTTTTGGCACCATAGATGTGTCGCGAAAGAGAAAAGCATTTTGTACACGTAATTGTGTTGTACTTCTGATTCGGGTTTTAGTTTCCTAATCTTCGCCGTTCAACAAAAGTTAATTTTGTTTCAAGAATTAATTTATTAAATTTTTGTCGTTTAACAGAAATTACTTAATTATTGGATTTTAGTTTTGACTAAAATTCGTTCCAATAAATAAGGCATCGAACGTAATTATGATGTCTATGGACAAAAATCAAGCCTATAATTCTGTTTCAGGATTTTAATCCTATTTTTCAACAAAATTTATTTGATTTACTGTTGATAACAAAAATCGTTTGGATGTAACAACATTGTTACAAATTTTGTTTTAGAAATTTAATTTCTAATTAAATTTTGTTGTTTAACATAAACAAATGATAAAATAAATTGAATTAACTTTCAATTTATTGTTGGAATATTTACAAATTTTGGTTATGTGTTTTAAACGAAACAATGGTAACCCCACTGATTCACCTACATCGTTATTTGAAATATTGATTCCTATTCATACTTTGAATAAAATTCAAAGATGTCAGTGGTTGTGATCCACAGCGAGAAGTATGTGAAAGTCATGGATATAATTTCAAGACATAGAGACATAAGATTTTATATTTAATCATGTTGAATATGATCAAATATAGGATGATCCTCCTATTCATAGAGAGGATGAGATAGACATTGTTGTCATTAAATCTTGAAAGCATTTTAAGTTTCTATGTCAAAATTACATCTCGAATGGATTGTCAGATACACCATATGAAGTGTATAGTATCCATAAGATTGCTAAATAATTATGAATGACATTTGACCATGTTGTAAGTTGTTATAGAACATGTAGAGGAAGCTATTTTATTAGCAAATTACCTTTAAATAAGGTAACTTACAAGAAAATAGGTGAGAAACCATATGAGTTATGGAAATTTTCCTACAACTACATCAAAGTGTGGGGTTGCCTTGTATAAGTATAATGATAAGTCGAGACACATACGTATTCGACATAGTATCATTAATTGATCTCAACTAGAGTTATTTATATTGATTTTGTAAGATTAAAAGATAACATTATGGATCCGCTAAACAATGAGTTGAATCGAGATCAAGTTGATAAACATCGAAATGAATGTGACTAAAGCCCATTAATATTTAAGGCGCTATGTGAAGGAAAACCCAACTTAGTTGACTGGTGATCCCAAGATCTAAGTTCAATGGGACAACCTATTTGCATAGACCTTGTGAGGTCACTGTGGGGGTTCTTATCCCCAAGTCCATTCCTATGATGAAAACTGAACGAATTTGTATAGACCTTGAGTTCAATGGGACAACCTACTTGCATAGACCTTGGGTTCTTATCCCCAATCTCTCTTAGATACAATTCCCAAACATTGGAATAGGAAAACTCTTAGAAATTCTATCACTGGAAAGAACGAATTTGGAAGGAATTTCTAAGAGTTTTCCTATTCCAATTTTTGGGAATTGTATCTAAGATCGAGTCTTAACTAACCTATTTATAGAGGATAGGAAATTAATCAAAAGGTTATGGCCTTTTGATGAAGAGATTTGTTGAAAAGCTAATAAGTATAATTGAATTGATGCAATTTTATACCAAATAATAAATATGCTCACCAAGTGACATAACTTATTATTAAAAGACATCAATTTTATTCAATTATTTATTAATTTTTCCAATAATCCCCCACATGAATGAAATTGATGATTTCAAACACTGACTCGATATGGTGATAGATTCTATGTTCGATATTTGCATAGGATAAGTAGGCGTCGCCCTTTGAACCTTCCCTTGTGAAAATATGTTTACCTTACTGGTTGTCCAGTAGACGTGATGTCTTTGAATTGTCCTGCCGTTGGTGTAAGCGATGACATATTATTTCTCATCTAAAAAATTAAATAAATTCAAAAAAATAATGATAAAACCAAAAATAATCTAACTAAAATTAATACCAAAATATTCACATTTTACTCACCTATTCTTCTCATATTATTTTTCTATAAAATTTACTCAAAATCAACGATTTTTTTTTTCAATATTTAACCTTATAATGCTTTGATCTTCTTCAATAATTGTCGAATTAGATTAGTTTTAAGGTATATTCTTGAAAAATGCTTCTCACCATGAGCTTTTAAACAAACAACCTAATCCAAGAAAGCCTTTTTTTTTTATTAATCCAAGAAAGCTCTAAAACTTAGTAAAATGATGGATATTTTATGTTCGATTTCATAAATTTTAAAGAGATTTTAAGAAAATTTAAACCAATCAACAAAGTTGATGAGACAAATTTGTTAATGTATAAAAAGATCACAAAAACCACAGGATAACATATATTTTGTATGGCTGTAAAACTTAGTAGGAAAAAGTTATGGTTTATTGAAGAAGATTACGAGATGAAAAGAAAAAGAAAATATGATATCAATATAAAATAATTTAAAAATATAGATTTAGATAAAAAATAATTCGTTTAAAAAGTAAGAGTACTTCGAATAAAAACCTTTATCTGTCCCTTTCATTTTCTCAGTTTCTGATTCCCTTTTCAATTCAATTTCCCCCACGTTTTCGTCATCACGCAATTTTACTTTGATTACTAACTGTTTTTCTTCTAACTTATAGCTTCCAAGACAATTCCACTATCACTAAAATTACGTATGCATTTTCTGTTAGTAGAATATATGGACTCCTGATAATTTTAAAGATAAAGATCATAAACTAATGAAGCCACTAGAGAAAAATCTAAACACAGCAAATAATCAAAAAGACTCACCGTCAGCAATAGCTAGTGTCATGTCATCAATGCGGCTTTTGATAAGATCCACAATCCGAGCTTTTTGCAATGGCGCAACACGACAACAGAGAACTACCTTACAGGAAGTTGCAATGTCGAAAAGCTGTTGAAAGGTGTGTAAAGTAAATTGAAATATTCAGGAATGAAAAAACAATGACAATAAATACAAATATAAAAGCAAGTCCAAAAATTGGTTCATAGATTGAACCATCTTGAAACAACAGAGTACATATACTATAAGCATCTAATCGATCTTGGAAATAAAAATTAGTCTTACCTCTGATTCTAAATCCTTCTAAAAAATATAGACGAAGCTGTTTCCATCTATTATAAGTGCCAAGGGTGCACAAACATCTGGTTCTTCCTTTCCAGAACGTGGCTGTAGCACATTGGAAGATTTTGCTTCATCCGGTATCTCAAGATAACCATTTTCTGGATTATTGGTCCTTTTTGAGTTTTCGTTTTTTCTATTTGCTGGTTGCACTCCATGTCTGGTCTTTGCATCAGTCAAAAATTTTCTGCATTCTTCCTCTGAATTGCCATTTATGATTATTTGCTGCATATCTGCAGTCAGAAGTTTACATGAGAGTCCAATAGAAATTGTTGTTTCCTGATTATCTCCAGTCAGAACCCAAACTTTTATTCCTGCTTGCTGAAGAGCCTCAATGGCTTCTGGCTGGTACACCATCTTTGTAGCTTATCCTCAATTGCAGTATCACCAAGTAAGTTTAAGTTGCATTATACTAAAGATGCGGTTTTACGTAATTTTACTGTTCTGTCAATTAAAGAAGTGCTTGCATCTTCATATTGACATTGCCAATGGTCAAGTTGCGCATCTGTAAGATCCCTTGCAGAAACTACACGAGTGCGGAGACCTTCTGACGAGTAATTAGTCAAATGACTTTGACTTACTTGTCTAATCTGATCATCCTTCTCAGTTTCTTTTGCTAAAATGCTGAACATTGCGGTATCAGTACCTTTCACTAACACCTTGATTGTATTGTCTGGAAATCTTATAACAACTGACATTTTCTTGGGCACACTATCAAACTCATGCAACCCCAAAACATCCAACCTGAAACATGGAATTTCTATTTTAACGCAACAAATTGCATAGAGAAAACTAGATAGTTGGCCTTGGGAAAATTGCTAGGGCAGGATCACTAGAAAATGATCAAATAGGCAGCATGGAAACAGGAGAACAAACCATACAAATCATATACCTCAGTTTATCACCATTGACATCGATCACAATATGACCTGACGTTTGTTCATGGAGAGTATACCCATAAGCGGAGGCTCCAGAAACTAGTGCTTGCTCATCAGGAGATTCACCCTGGTAATCAATAGCTTTCACCTCTCCCCATGAGTCACTTCTATCAAGAAACAATTGGGATCACAGTATTACATGCAGCTAGAGTGAGGAAGAACAGATGTGCAACAATTCTTTCATCTCCACCCATGTTTTTATGCAACAAATCCATTAGTTCCGAATCAACATATAGTTCTGACTTAAGCTTCCATCAGCTTGAAACAGCTGCATCTGCAAGGATCATATAAAAAACTAAAATTAATACTACTTAACAACATTACATACAGTATCAGAGGATAATCAATTAAAATGGAATATTCATAAATATTCAGATTCATTATTCATGAATAGGAGACTGGTGCAAAAGTATAGAAAAGAAGCCGGCCAATCCAATCAAAGGCATAGCCATACCTTTCTAACAACCTAAACAAGCATTTTATAACAGGTACGAATTGACTTGCCACCAGAACGATGCAGACATTAAGAAAAGCAACCAAAAAGGGTTCTTAGTAGTCCATCAGATCAAGAGTTAAGCGGAAAGTTGTGAAAAGATTTTGTAGATAAGTCCACTCGAGTTATCAAGTCAATAACCAGCAAGCAGAACTAAATAAATTCTAAACTAAAAAAAAATCAGATTCAGTCCTGCAGATATATGGATGATAAAGAACTGAATTGCAACAAAACAATTACAAAAACAAAAAATGAAAAGGAAAAGGAAAACATAAAGAGAGCTAACAAGTCCTAACTAACACTAAATTATAAATTGTAATATGCAGTAAGGACATCAAATGGCATAGGGATTACAATGTTATACCTCTGATGTTATCATCCTGTAGTACGTCATCTGAAAGATTGGAGCTTCTGTAATCTTTCTCATAGACACTTGCTTTTCGAAATTCCATTTTGTTCTCAGTAAGTGTCCATGTTTTGTCAGAAAACACATGTCGTATTTGACCTAAGTCCTCGTTTATGTTCAGCGATCGACATTGAAACCTTGAGCCAGAATTGCTGCAATACATGTGCTTATCTTCAATCATGAATAGGGATGGCAACGGGCGAAGTTCGGGCCGGGTATTGGTCTCCCGTCCCCGTTTAAAAAACCCATCCCCGCTTAAAAACTCACGGGATTTAAACGGGGATCCCCATCGGGTAATCGGGGAAAACAGCGGGAAAACGGGTATCCCCGTTTAGCATAAACGGTTATTTAAACGGGTATCGGGCCGGATATATATATTTAAATTAAATATATAAATATTATATATTTTTTAATTTAATTTAAATTTATTAATATTATATATATATATAATAATTATTTTAATATTTATCGAGTCGGGTATCGGGCCGGGTAATTGGATAATCGAGGCGGGAATTACCCAACCCATCCCCGTTTAATTCGGTTTTAGATTTTTCCCGTCGGGTTCAAATTTAAATATAAATTCATAAACAAAACCATTCAGCCATCAACTCAAATGCAATACAAAAAATAATGATTAACATGAATTTCGATAAATAAAGAAAATGGGATTTTTTGTTTAGTGCGTAATAAGATGCTCGAACAATTTCCTCAAAGTTTTCAAATCCGAAATGAGCTGCTACGTCTTCTTTCCTAGAGTATGCCAAATGGGAAATAAGCCCTCCATGCCTGGTTTTGGTGGTAAAGTTATACATGGAAGCGTTGCAGCTAAAAGCTTTGATCTTGTTCCCCTGTCTGCCATTTTCCCCTATTTTTTTCTCTGTTTCTTAGTTTATATATCAGAGAAAAAAGACAAGATTTTGTCTTTCTTTTTCTTCGAATTTTGTTGTTTTTCCAGTAATATTGATTGGTTCTTCTGATAGTTTCGTGTTTATCTTCAGCTTGTAGGGATAACAGTAGGGGAATTGTCAAATTTTTAAATTATTTTTTTGAACTATTTGGTGTTTTCAGCCCATAGATATACACATTTGTCATATTTTAATCCATTGCAAAATATAAAACACCTCAACAAACTTTTGACTTTTAATTTTGCTTATTTTCATATGCAAACAAGTGGGACATTGAGCCAAGACATGACAAGATCATGCTACCATGTCATGAAGCATTTGACACATAATATTTTTAGGGTAAATTATAAATTTAGTAACTAAACTTTAACTCTATCATATTTCACTCACTTTACTTTAAATCTTTTTAATTTCTTTTTATCACAGTGGTTTTAATATCGTTTTGGTAAATTATAAATTTAGTAACTAAACTTTACCATGTCATGAAACATTTTTTTATCACTCAGTCGTTTTCTCTCTAACGACATTATAAATGTTTCTATATAGATGTAAAATGAAGTTGTTCTAGTAAATTTTTCGTTTTTTTAAACAATTTCGTTTTAATATCGTTAACTATTTAACGATATAGTGACAAAAAAATCTAATGTATTAAGTTTAGTGATGAAATTGAAAACATTTAAAATTTAGTGAGTAAAATAGGAGAAAATAAAATTTAGTGAAATTTATAATTTACTCTTTTTATATAAAGAGAACGACACATACTATTTTAGTTTTTTTTTTTATCTTTTTTCACAATTTAATATTAGTTATATATTTTATTGTATTTACTCAAGAGATATATTTGTATAAGTTTTGACATATTGTTAATTTATTTTATAAACATTTAGAAAAAGTTCAAGTTGTTTTTGAAACCTTAATAGCCCTTCAAGTTTTTGAAATTCTAATAGCGATTTTAATTTTTTTTCTTCTTTATCTCCGATTGATAGGTAGCGGTATTAGTCTTCATGATTGTTAATATGGTCCCTATTTTTTATATATATATTTTTATTTTTTAATGGTTAATAATTCTGTATTTATGATATGTTTTTTTTTCTTTTGATACATGTTCGGTTGATTGGTCGTAGTTTTCATTTATTCTTTCTTTACAGAGTTGAACTTAACATCTTTGTGACTGATCAAGATGATGTTTATTTGTTATCATATTGATTTTCCTTACATTAGATCGTTATAATTGGATACGTATCATATCACTCAACTATGATTTGTGATTCGTTAGTGATATTTCAATAGTTTGATATCTTTTTGTGATTTGTTTGTCAAAACGATCAAATTCATTCATATTTCTTTTTTTCAAATTTGTTTGGTTAAATTTTTAAATATTTTCTTATATAGTCATTATATAATCTCAAGCAACTAATCTTTTGATTTAATAATACAAAAAAATATTCTTATTATATATTTTATTTACGATTTTGGTTATAAATTTTTATTATAATCTAAATATTTTTTTAATAATATAACTAACAACTACAACAAAAGAGAGAGAGAGAGAGAGTTAGAAAGAAAGAAAATGTTGGAGTTGGCAACTAGGCATTGCTTATCCATGTGGTTATGCGAAATGGAGAAAGGCAACGAAACAAAAAAGGTTGAAGTCAATGAATTGACTTCTATTCCCAAGCTTTGCAGAAGAACCAATTGTACAAAGGACCTACTGAAAGACCCTGTGCCATCACAATTTTGAAATTTCTCATGAACACAAATCATTACAACAGAGTACAACCAACAAAGAACTTAGCTTTAACAGTCGAAACAAATCATAGAGATTTCAGGTACCCAAATGCCCTGATAATGTAATTTAGGGATAAGTCTCTTCAATCCACTCAGAAATCAGAAGAAAAAGTAACTTACATTTAGATATACAGTAACATTCAACAATGGAAGCTGCAATTCAGAATTCAAGCACCCAACTCAACAATAAAACGATATTATATTATAAAATTTGCAAATCCAAATTACTGACTACCACTAACCTTAGTGGTGTACTTATGAATCATGCTGAGTATCACATGCTTATTACCTTTCCAACAAAGGTTTAAAATCAATTAACATATGGTTCGATATGCCTCGAAGAAACTCAACATGTGCTCCATCCAACTGCCGAGTCCTCTCACCTACCCAAAGCAAGTGAGCAGAACAGTCATAATAGAGGCCAGTAGTAGAATGCTTTCTGGTCAAGGCTTGCTCGTATGGTAAATGGAGGCATTCATGGGATGTTCAAAAATCAACAGTGTTCATTTGAGGTTCGTCGATGGCTATTCCGGCTACAGCCATGAATCCCAGAGCTTCATCAACTCTCCGAGCAAGCTCCATGTACTTATATAAATCAAAAGTCAGATTCCTGAAGAAAACGACAAGTGACAAACATAAAAGCTTAAATATAATACTAAGACTCAGAAAGTTGAAAGAATTTTACCTGTCTCATTGTTCGCTATGCTTAACAAAATCGAGATTCCATTGTGAGACTCTTTGCATAGCAGCATAACCACCGGTAGAAAATGGTCTAAGGAGATTCAATGTACCAACAGATTGAAGATAAGCTCTAATCAATCTTTGAAGGGCATACACTCTAGATTTCTCATCAAAAGCATCGCCATTCACATTATCTCCTCGATAACTCGGTAACTTAACTCCGTCTTTAATCTCAAATGGGTCTGACCTTGGCTTTGCAAATTGCCCAGCCATCCTACCAACCTGCAAAAACAAATCAAAGAGAACAGGAAAGAAGAGTATCATCCCAGATTGAAGTGACCGGAGAAAGCATAGGATGCAGAAATAATGGAACTCACTCACACGTAGCACCTTCCACTTCGGAGACTCTTCCAAAACTTCTTGAAGACCAGTCCATTATTGTTGGCGAACCCGTTTACGATCAATGAAAGGCTTCACGGCTCTGAAACTCTGAGGAATCCGAGGCGTTTGTAACTGCGGAGTATTGTTGGTGGAGAGCAAGAGAGGAGTTTTGTCCAGTGAAAATTTGGAAAGTGCAGATAAAACTGGAATTAAAGCATAGACGAAGACGAAGAAAGAGATTGGATTTTGTAATAGATTTGATCGATTATTTTCACAGCATGAAAATCAAAGAGGGAAAAGAGAGAAACTAACATGAGAGATGAGTTTTTAAGTGGGAAACCGCACAACGGGTGGTAAACCGCACACCGGGTGGTAAACCGCAGTCTGAATGGTTTTTAACTGGGAAGGAAATAAGGTGAGAGTGTGCCGTCCGGCCCATACTGGGCTTTTATCCTTGTGTTGGGCCTGGGGCGTGCCTCATCTCCTGTGCCCAAGAAGAGACTAGGGATGGTGGGTGGGTTTTTTGGTTACATGCTTGTTTTTTAGGGTTTAAGTAGTGTTCAACTAACAGTTAACTTCTTAAATCATTTCACAGTAACTTTAAAAGGGAGGGATCCTTGTAAGTAGTGTTTAACTAACTATCGCAAGAGTTAGCTTCTTAAATAATTTCACAGTAACTTTAAAAGGGAGGGATCCTTCCGGTACATACGAGGAGCATTATTTTGAAAAGTGATGCCAAACCTATAATGATAAAAAGGGCTCCCAACTATTCCTTCGACTGATGACTTCGATAAGTCACATATGCAACGTTAATGATCACTGTGTAGTCAGTAAAAAACGGGAGCTGCCTCTCAATTAGTTTTAATTATTAGGAACTAATTTAGATAAAATCTACTATCTAAATATTTATCTTTGCCTTATACTAAACTTCCTCTTAGCACACTGTGTATCGTCAAAACCACATTGTTTGGTTTGGTATACTACTTTAACAATCATTAAGGAATACTCATATCATAGTATTATTAGTGATTTAAGAGTAAAACGATATAATTAAAATGAAAGATCAAAATTAAATATTATAATTGATAAAATTAAAAATTTAATAATATAAGCTAATTAATATATCGTTTCATTGACATCTAGAATTATTTTCCTATTTTTTACAATATATCACATAATTTAACATTTTAAAAATGATATATTCTGAGATAATGTTAAATTACAAGGAGGGCAGATAAAATCCACTGGAAAAGTAAAATAGAACCCAGTGAAAGCTGGAAAATAGCCGCGCATTGGTTGGGGAGAGTGAGTAGCACATGCAGGCAATTGTCCTTTCCACCGACAATGGTGGGTCAAATAAAGAAACTCTCCAAACCTGGCATGCTATGCATTATCTAAATGCAAATTTGACATATTGTGCATTATCTAAATGCAAATTTGACATATTGTGCATTATCTGAATGCAAATTTGACTAGTATCTGGTATCACATAGCTCTCAAACACTAGTTACTGAGGAAACCTTGGTGAGCATCGGCTTAATTACCACAAAAATACTTAATGATCTTTTGGTCCTCACATAGCCATCATGTAGATCACTGAGGGGAACCCGGTGTCATGTAGCATTAATACAATTCCCACACAAATTGAAGCATTGGCTTGGTCTCACAAGCCTTCAAGCCAAGCTTTAACATACGTGACATACTAATCTGATGGGACTATACATGCATGATTTACACAAGCAGACATGGGATAGGTATGGTGGTGTGGCCGGAGGAATTTACGTGCATCTCAAAGCAATACCCCAACCTATCTTGAATATGAAATAGCTTAGAGGTAAGAACCGGAATATACGTACATCGAAAGCTTACCCAATAGAACTGACTGACATAACTAACCATGCATATCTAAGGCACATAGGCCATATTGTACTAACATCGCTAACACACTCCTCGCAAGTGTTCAGGTCTCGCACCCTAGTTAGCCCCTGAAGTACCTCGTGCACTGGCAATGCCCCACTAGGGAAACTAAGGTAATCCTGGGTATACCTTAGCATAGATGGACTCGCTAAAGTGAAGTCAACGTCACACTAGCTGTTATCTCGTTTATTCTCTCATCTAGAACGTTATGTGAAGGCTTACTTATTATCTAAGGAATTGGCCAGCCCAATATATGGCTTGAGTACATTTCTGAGTAGCGATACTTTAATTGATCTTATCATACTTTCCTTCAGAACTTCTTGAATTGAAAAGGACAACTTATTTTTCCTGGGTTCATAGACATTCTCGAAGCTCATTCTTTTTGCGACCACTGAATATGACATAATCATCGTACCGCTTATTGGATGTCTCCTGAACGATCCTCGGTCCTGGCTATTCGTATTCATCCTTGTTTGAAGATTCTTTTGCGTATTACACTTAATATGGTTACACTTGATGTAACCTGCTCCTACGGGTGTATCTATGTATTCTTGATCATTTATATCCCTCACAAGCTAATTCTTGCTATTACGAATCGTCTTTAGCTTTTACGGACCTTAAACAGGTCAAATATGACCATTTAAAGCGAGTAGTATTGATACTCTATTTGTAGTATCGATATTTTAGGGTCAAGTATCGATAACCTATGAGTATCGGTACCAAAAATGCATTTTATCGTGAAATTAGGCCTTAGTATCGATATTGCCACCCTAAGTATCGATACTGCAAGGGTAATATCGATACTCCCCTTGGCAGTATCGATACTCTAGCTCAAAATCCCTAATTTGTACCATAATTTAACCAGTATCGATATTGTTCATCCCGATATCGATACTCACCCAGAAATGGTTATTTTAGGCTCGATAATCACTCAAAAATCATCCTAAATGATTTGGGTTGGTTTCTAATATTATTCTGAAGCTTTAATAAGTTGTTTAGGGTCTTAAGGTAGCATAAAAACATCTTTTTAACTTCTAAAATGTAATTTGATATTGATATCAAATATAAACCTTAAAATGCTTAAATACTCAAATCTTAGGAAATACATGAAATTTATGAAAGCTTAATACTCTAAAGGATTAGAAATACACTACCTTGATTTTAGAAATCTGAAATAAACCTCCTTTAGCTAGCAATCACTTTCCTTTTTGAACTTGGATGATTTTTCTCCCTTTTCCTTTAGCTACAACAATGCAAGGATTTCCTTAACGTAAGAATGTTATAGGTAGCAAGAGGGACAAATTTGAGACTTAGTAAAGTTGAGAAAATGAATCTTACCACCACTTGAGGTTATGGAGACTTAAAGAGGGGAGAAAAATAGCAAGGAAGAAGATGAAGAGCAGAATGGGACACTCACGTTCAAAATGAAATAAAACCTCAAATCTTATCTTCAAATTCTAATAATGGTCTAATTACACTTCTAGTCCTTGATTTTTTATCTCATGTTTAAAAATCCCCCTTTTGTGGCTAATTGGGCCCAAATACAACTCAATTAAACCCAACAACTTAAATCATGAAATCTACGGGGTCCACTTACCTCTCGGATAAACCCGAAACTACTAGCCCAAAATTTGAGGTGTTTCAAACATATTCGATTCTTTTCTCTTTTTTTTCAAGAAAATAATCAATCCTTATTATCATCATTATTGATCAAGCATCATATGTTATCGGTCTTCATTTATAATAAGATCCATATAAAAACATTCATATTTTATTTTTTTTCTTATCAAATTGTTTTTTCCATAATATTCACTCAAAATCAATCATTTGAGTAGATTTTATGAAAACTCAATCTAATAAGGAAAAAGTATAGGAGTATTTTTTTATTAATTTCCTAAGTTTTAAAGAAGTTTTGAAAAAAAAATTCTAAACCAATAAATAGGATAAAACGATAAAATTAATTTATCAATATATAAGGTGGTCGTAAAAGATATCAGGGAATAAAGGTTTGTAGTAATAATGTAGCATTCAAATGTTAATAATATATTAGTATCATCAATAAAAGCAGAGAAAATTAGATACTTAGATGACCTCTTTGTGTTTCCCTACGTTGGAAACGATGCTTATGGGCCCTATTCCTTGTGGCGACCTCGATCTTCCTCTTGAAGGTAGGGATGACAACTCAACCTGAACCTGAGAGGGGTTTCGACTCGATCCGATCCGATCGAGTAAGATTTTTTTTTAAAAAAATTGGGTTCGGGTCGGGTTGGGTTTGGTTTTAGGGTGAAAAAATCCGACCCAACCCGAAAAATATATATAATTTTACCCTATATATTTAGGGACAATTACAATAATACCTCTCTATATATAATTTTTTTCAATTAAGTCACTGTTTTTATTGAATATAAATATTTTTTTTATTATTTCGGGTCAGGTTGGGTTTCTAAGCTTAATTTCGTCGGGTCGGGTCACGGGTGGATGACCCTTTCTTCTCGGGTCGGGTCGGGTGACCCAAAAACCCGACCCGACCCATTGCCATCCCTACTTGAAGGTGCTCACTTTCATATTGTTTGTTATAGTAAGCTAATATTAGTACTCGAGTACGTCATTTCTTGATCTTTCAGCTTACGAGTCGTCTTCCAGTCGTCTCACTCTTCTCCAACAGCGGTCTCCGGTTGTTAAGGTATTGCTTCAGTTATAGTTAGAATGATTCAATTTATTTTTCAGTTCCCAGTAAGTGCTGCTGTCATTACCTTCTGAGATGGTTGACATTGAGTACTCATCATAGATTTAAGACCGTTTTACTACTTAAACTGAACTAGAAGGATAAGAGGCATTGAATTTATTTGTAAACTGCTTGTTGTTATTTTTTTATATGGTCACTATTAGAAAGCGGTTATGTTAACTAAATGATTAGTCAGTTTGATACAGGGAACCCAACTAATAAAAACTTCTTAATTTATATAGTTAAGTGCCAGGATTGGTGTCCTATGCTAATGTATTATTCTTATTTCAATTGCCTTCTTGAAGCACTGAATTACTTCTTTCAGATTGAGTCCTGTTTCATTTATGATTGTCCTGACCGAGGGATCTACCATGCCAGTTGAAATTCATTTGTGACCTAGCTGTATCTTTTTGCCATTGTTCAAATTTGTCTTCCAATTAATTTTTTCTCCTTCATTTTCAAGCTATACAAAACTTGAACGTATATGGAATGATTTGATCTTTGAATGGTCATTCTAAACAGGGGCGAATGGTTGAATTTGTCAAAAACATGGCAAATTTTGCTGCTGCAAGTGGAAAGAAGCATTTTGTTCTGCTTTCTAGCTTGGATTTTGGAAAGTGGCAGAAAATTGACATGTCAAGCTGAAATTTTCGGTGGTCAGTTCATGTTACCATATGTTGGGGACAGCAAGTTATTCTTTGGAAATGTAGAACCTTGATTTACATCTCTTCCGGGATATAACCTTGGCAAGTGGCAATGTGGTCTCAGTGGTCTGCAGATACATTACCTATCCAGCATCAATCCTGATGGAAGAGACGATCGTTGTGAGCAACTTGGATGGAAGTATCTTAGCACCTTAGCTGAGGGAAATACTGTGCTGGAAAGCAATTTACCTTTCGAAGATGAGTTGGAAGACGAAGATTATTACCCAAGTTTGCCTTTTGCAGCACTCTTTTCTTGTCTGAAGGTATACTTCTCCTTTTTAAGTTCATAATTGTTTTGCACTAAGTTAAGGGGAGACTGCCTTTTGCAGCAATATTTTTGTGCTTTTATTTTAAATTTCTTTCTTTCAAGTACAAGACATGGGTTTGTTTTCTGTATATATAAAGAACCTTGAATTTATGTGGCTTACTTTGTTATTTTCTACACAGGCCAAAGGTTTGAAGGTTACATGCTTGCTATGCTATTGTTCAGAAGGGGATAATATACAGGATGCTTTTCAATTGGCTGAGGCAGCATGCAGACTTTTGGGGCTAAATCCTAGTACTTTTCCTGGTAAGGTTCCTTTATACTTAAGAATCAATATTGCCTGTAACAGTTACTCTATTATGTTTTTTCAGACCAATGACCTCTTTCATGAATATTTGCACTTAGTTTTAAAGATTTAAATATGGTTGCCTTGAAGATTTCAACTTTTGAAATAAAACATCATTATATGCATTATCAAAGTTTTCTTGCAACCATATGCAGTTGCTAATGAACACACACCACAACACTATTTTCCTAATCATTTGCGATGTGTTTAATAATGGAGGACTATGTTATTCCGTTGCTTTAATTGCATCAATTTTCTTAAAATAATGTTTTGTTCCTCTTAATTCTTTTGGTGTTTGCTTCATATCTAATCTCCAGATTTGTTTCATCATAAAGACTAATTTTATGTACAGTTAAATAACTTTTAACCACGTCCATATTATTTGTTGACATCCTTTCTTGGTCCGTTAAATATTTCTTTAAGAATTTCAAGAACACAAAAGTTTTGTTTTTCTTCCAGGTAACGGGGGTGGTGGAAACACGTGCATGGAAACACAAGGGGTGTCTTCTTCACTTTTCTACTTTAGTAATATATTATATACAGTTAAACACTTCCTTATCGGATGCATCATCTTTCTCTTCTACTTTTGAAAGGTTTCACCGAAGTTGGCCGTCTTTTCTTGGCATTATTTGGTTTGTGGAAACACATGCATGGAGCACCAAATCATTGAATAAGTCACTACCATATGAACTTTTGACACGACGTATCTACGATCATTTCTGGTATATAAGTTTTGGTTGGTGGATTAAAACAGATGCTAAATCTTCATACCTGAAAACAAAAACTTCCATGGGCACATTTGTAGGACATTTGGTGCCAGGCCTGGCACTGACCCTTCTTGGCCTGTGGCACACCATCAACAATATTAGAGCCTATTGTCTCAAGGGCTCTACCAAATTTACAGTAAGGTTCTGGTATCCTCTCCATGGCCATGTTTCTAGATTCAAACATTTGGAGCTGATTTTTATATTGGCCTTTTCCCTGTTAGCAATTTTCATGCAAATATTAGACTTGCCTTTTATTCGCTATCCTTTCGAACTCGATGGCCTTGAGCACGCAAGCATATTTTTCCATCAGTCCATCTTGCTATATTTGCAGGTTTCACTCTTTCCGTGGAGTTAACTCAGTCCACTGAGATTCTATCAGCTTTTTCGGGAATTATTGTGGCATCTGTTTTCAGTCAGGAGCTTTTCTTCCTCCATTTTCACTCTGCCGATCATATTGGACTTGAAGGCCATTATCACTGGCTCTTGCAGCTCATAGTGCTCATCTCAATACTGGCAGCTATAGCAATAATGTTTCTACCAACTAGTTTGCCCGCGGTTCTTGTTCTATCAGTTTCTGTTGTATTCCAGGGTTGTTGGTTCATGAACATGGGATTTATGCTATGGAGTCCTCAGTTTGTTCCTCGAGGATGCATAATGCAGTTGGCTGAAAGCAGCGGTGACAGCATGCACAGTGCAGTGACATGTTTCTCACATGAAGCAGATATAAGGGCCAGAGCATTGGCCAACTTGCAATTCATTTGGATACTCTCTGGAATTATGATATTCACAGGATTCATCTGCCTAAATTTTGCTGGAAAATGCACCCGAGACCACAATCAACCGAATACGAGCAACTTCAAATTAGAGGCAGCGATGTTTATATAACTGTGGATAGCTTCAAGCAAGCTGATCCCTAGGTGTTTACCTTTGTTTGATAAACATGTAAGTGTATGATGGACAGCAGAGTTTGATACTTAACATAAACACTTCTGAATAAATGTAATGTGTTGTAGATGTATTATAAATACGATATCCCTCACAGTAGCCACATAAAACACCAATTAAACAAAACATATAAAACATGACATTTCCATTGCAGAAGCCATATAAAACATGTTGCTAACTTGCAGTGTTTAGACAAAGCAATCAGTTGCAGTTAGAAATGATAAGGAACTAGAGAAATGTCAAAACCATGATGGTGTTAGGTGCTATTACATTGGAACCACTTTCTCAATGTCATCAGCCTCAACAAAACATTTACATCCACCAAAACATTGCCACTTCAATCATCATTACTATACCATCCCCATTGCTAAAGTATACAAAAAAATCCAAAATGAAGGCCAGTTTACAGATTAACTAATTCAAATCTGGTCCAGTACGAACAGTTAGCATATTATACAATTTTCATAAGACCGTTACAGTTCACCACAAAAGAAGAGAACCAAATGTGATTCCAAGCATCATTTCCTTTGCAAGTTTCTCCATTTATCTTTGAGGTCAACCTGATATATAACAAAGAACATATATTATAAAGTATCCATCAAAATGAATAAGTTGACACATCATATAAAGAAGGTGATATACTTACAGCAGTTCTCTCTCTAGATATTTCTTGATAGGTTTCCAATATGCGTGTCCACTGGTATCCATACCTGCATTATGAAAATAATCTTAGTGGGAAAGCAATGGTTATAAACTACCAGAACTATCTCTTCTCATATTGGTTAAACAAAACAAGTAGTAACAACTACTAAAGCAAAAACCTAGAGCAAATTTAATATGCTAACAGTATTATACACCGAAAATTAAATGCAGAACCTCAGTTATATGTTAACCACTTACTTTCGTACACCCTCTGCCAAAGCATTTTCCTCCTCGTAGGTCCATTTATTTACTTTTCTCCGTCTCATCCACCTTTTAGGTTCGTCTATGTTTAGGAGAGAGATGTGTTCTGTCCTGGGGCTTGGTAAAGTGCAACTATTTGTCCCTTGGGAAGAGTCCTCAACTGAATCCTCCAACTACAACAACAATCATAACATAAGACAGATGAAAAACCAAAACATAATATGATTAAATGAACAAATAGGGATTCAACTTAAAGAATGCAAGACAAAATATCAAATAACCAAAAAAGTTCATCCCAAGATTTCACAAAACAATGCCAAGTCAGACAGAGCATAAATAGTAATAACAGTTAAGGATATATATATATACAGAAAAAGAAAACAGCAGGAGGTTACGATTAGGATTTAAAGCTTGCAATGCAATGAAAAGCAAAAGTTAAAACAATGGAACATGCAATGTAATGCCAGTAATGATAATAATATAAATATGCGCACACAGACCTCAGTGCGAGCAGTGGAATTCCTGTCCTTGGTGCTCGGCACTTTCTTGGGCCTAGCCCTGCTAAAATCTTCATTCCCCTCCTTAGTTTGAGAGGGTTCTCCCGTATGATTAGCAAATGGAATAAGAGCATTTCCATCTATACTGTCATGGTCTTTTTTGATGTCCTCCTTAGGTGCCCCCTGTTCGTTATTTACATGGCCTTGAGAGCCTTCAGAATGCAATCTTTTAGGTTCTGCCAAATATGATACAACATCTTAGAACAACATATTATACTGCAAATTAAACATATAAATGACATAGCATAATAAAAAATATTAAGACTTTGGAATAAAATCAAAAGAAGAAAGGGAAGAGGAGCCTACCGATTCCCTTCAGTAGGAGCAGGAGCAGGAGCAGGAGCAGGAGCATGAGGCACCAGACAGCTCCAAATCCCCAATTTCCTTTTCCCAAATCCTTCGTACGGCGTCAAAATAGTCGTCCCTCGAGAAGTGTAACCACCGCAGCGTAAGATGTACAGCAAGGGCGCAAAAAGCTTCCCGCATGGCGTCAGAGGCATGAACGCCCCGTCCGCGGTCGAATTCATCGACGAGGATCAAGGATTCAAGAAGTGAAAATAGTAATCCGTCGTCCTTTTTTGAATTGATCGGAGAAACAAGGCTTTAGTATAGAGACAAAATTGATCATAGTCGCTGTAGTTGCCGCCATTGTTTCCGTTTGGCTGAGTGTAGAATTGTTTAAGAATACGTAGAGCAGAAGGCGAAATATCCTCCATTTTTCCAAAACTTTCCACTACTAGTATTGCTTAAGAATGGATAGAACAGTTTTATCTTAACAATGGATATTATTAATTGTTGTCGTGCCTTCATATTATCGCTTTAATGATAATCGTTTTTAACTTCATAGTTTTGAATTTAATAATATTATTATAAGTAATTTTAATCTAATTATAATTTATTTTCACTATTTAATTGGGATTAAAGATTGATTGCTTCTGTAATATAATTATATTATATTTTTAACATTTTATTAACATTAAATTAATGAATGTATAATATGAATGAAAGTCTTCAATCCTATAGTTTGTCTTAATTAAATAAATGTAAATTTTAAACTATTTATGATAAAAACATAATTTTTTAATGTTTTTAAAATTTTAAATTTATATTATATTTCTTCAAAAAAAATTATATTATATATAAATTGAACTTTTAAAATATTTTAAAGCTCTAACCATAAATCATAAACCTTCTATCCTACCTAATAAATCGTAAACTCTAATATTAAATCATAAACTTTAAACCCTAACATAATTGTCGAAGTCCCTTAGTATGAACCTAAATCATATACACCAAACTTTGCTATGAATCAAAGGACATAAGTCTGAATTAGGGAACTATGAACCCTACATACTAAACCCTGTAAGGCTGTAACCTTTAATATTAACTCTAAACTCTAAACCTTGGACCTACATCCTAAATGCACAATAAGTGCTAAAACTTAGTCTCTAAATCATAAACCTTAAACTCTAACACTCAATCCTAAACGTTATATTGGACATATGGCCCTTAGTCTAAACCTTATACCCTAAATCTTACCTTGGGTCATAAGTCCTAAGTCTAAACCAAGAAACTCTAATCCTTACTCACTAATTACTAACTCTAAACCTCAAATCTTATAGCCTAAAATATAGAGTTTGAGATTTAAGATTTAGAGTTTAAAAATTAATCGCTTGATAACTTTGTTCGGGTTGAAAGCCCATACTTCAAGTTTGGGAACCAGAACCTTGAAAAAGCCAGCCTTGGGCTAGAACAAAAAACCATGGATCCTACCCAGTGAACTTTAATTCTAAATCTTAAAACTTTAAAGCCAGCCCGCGGTTCTTGTTCTATCGGTTTTGTTGTATTCCAGGGTTGTTGGTTCATGAACATGGGATTTATACTATGGAGTCCTCAGTTTGTTCCTTGAGGATGCATAATGCAGTTCGCCGAAAGCGGCGGTGACAGCGTGTGTTTCTCAAATGAAGCAGATATAAGGGCCAGAGCATTGAGCAACTTGCAATCCAGTTGGATACTCTCTTGAGTCTGGAATTATGATATTCACAGGATTCATCTGCCTAAAATTTGCTGGAAAACCACCCTGAGGCCACAATCAACCGAATACGAGCAACTTCAAATAAGAGGGAGCGATGTTCCTATAACAATGGATAGCTTGAAGCAAGCTGATCCCTAAGAATTAACTTTGATAAACATGTAAGTGTAACATGGACAACAATGGCTGATATTGAACTTAAACACTCATGGATAAGTATATAATGTTGTAGACGTATTATAAATAAGTCATATTAGACATCAGTTAAACAAGACATATAAAACATTACATTTCTATTATATAAGCCATAGAAACATGTTGCTAACTTGCTATGCTTAGACAAAACAGATAGTTGCAATTAAAAATGACAAGGAACTAAAGAAATTTGTCTATTAATATATTTTATTCGATATAGAGTTTCAAAACAGCAACCCAAAGTGCTAATTCAGTTGGAATTGAAAAACAATTACGTTTTCACATAGCAATCAAAGTACAAATTCGGTAGGGACATTGATGAAGCAAATCTTGAATTTCTCACTCATGACTCGGCTTCTTCCAAAGACGCTTCGATTCGAAGGAGAACGAATCCCACGGCAACTCCGACGAGAACAAGTCCATTCATGATTGCTGCAATCCTGAATATCTCACCAACTGCATTGCAAGTTGAAGAGAGTGCACCACCACCACCTCTACCTTTACCACTTGATGGAGCTTTGAGTGAGCTGACAAAGTTTGCAAAAGATTGCTGAATGCACACTGGTTGGCCAAGTGAGACTACTTTGTTATGAGCTTTCAATCCACCGAAAGAGTTCGACCCTGTTATGTAATTCACATGAACACTACCAGTCTTTCTCCTGGGGTGGCCAATGGTGGTGGCAGCAGCCAACATGGGTGGAGAGTATGTAGCTGAGGCTGTTGCCATTGCTAGACAGTAAAATGAAAGTTGAAAGACAACAGAAATTGGGTTTGGTTATTGTATGGAGAAGAGATGATGGAAAAGGTGAAGTATTTGGATGAATGGCTGGGAAGAAGATTAGATTAGGGGAGGATTTTGCAGCTTCGAATGCTGGCCACAAGATATTTGAGACCAATTTCTGGTTACATTAGCCCATTTAATAATGATATATCCATTTAAATGAGCATTTCCTGCTATTGAGCCTTTCAACATGTAACAGCTCAAACTAGAAAAAGCCCTCAAACAATCTCTCCATGGCCCTACTTTCCCTTTTTCTATAGGTAAATATACATTTTTGTTATCTAATCTAACTTCTAAATTTAATTTGATATTTCAATTCATTAAATTAAACATATTAACTTAATTTTAAGATTCAGTTAGGAATCTATTTTTTATTTAATAAATTATTTGAACTTAGTTTTTTATTCAAATTGGTAGGGACAAAATCTAGTCACTGTGGATGTGAATGAAAAAATAGATATATAATTAGAAATGTTGTCAAGTTGGAGGAGTACAAATTGCATTATACCTTTAAAAAATTAACAAAAGTCCAAACAATGTTTCGAAGGCCGAGGGGAGTATTGGACGCTAAGCAACATCGGAACCGACTCGCAGGCTGCTCGCGCTTTACTGCAATATGATACTACAGAATGTTACCGCGCGAGACGGACGTACGTCAACCTAACTCACACCATTTGTCGCAAGCAGAAGACGACGCGAGATATTTCCCCTCGTGCCGCCATTTTTGCTGACCCTCGTAGTCAAATTCATTAAAAGTGTTTTCTTTAATATCTTCTTCAATTTAACAAAAAGTATGCCGATCGAACACAAAAACGGTTTTTTACGTTATTTTTTATTATCTTATCCACAGCACTGACTGAGATATCGGGCAGTTCAGATAATATAGAATGAAATTTCCAAACAAAATAACGTCGCGCGTCTATTTATGTTTTACGAGGTAGCGATAACATCAGAGCAATAGCATGAAACCTTGAGAACTAAACAGATCGATCTTGTTTTTCATACGACCAGGATTCGCCCTATAAATAGAACAATGCTCCTGGTTGTTTCTTCATCTTCATCATTAAATACCCAGGCCAAAACAAGAAATCTTCAACTTCTCTACGTCAAATGGCGCTTTTGTGGAAGCTGGTCGACGAAAATGATTCACGACAACTCACGGTTACGGGAAAATTCAGTTCCGAACCATTCCCCAATGCGGAGGCTAGCGGTGTGTCCGTGGTAGATGGATGTAACTCTCCATGGACGTTCAAATACAGGGTTAAGGGAAACAAACGGATTCTGTCGGGTCCCCATTGGGTGCAATTCTTCGGATGCAATAACGTCCAAGTTGGTGACCAGGTCGTCATTCACCACAACGACGGGTGGGGGCCTCAAGCAGACTACAAGATCCAAGTCATCAGACGGCCATCTTATTAAACAAATTATGGATCAACTGCATCTGTTATTTCATGTTTGTGTATCGTCTCTGTTATTTCGTGTTCTACTTTCATATTTGAAATATATACTCTTCAGTATGTTGTTATTTGTGTCTTGTAATCAGTCATGAATTATTTATTATCGTTCTTGTTATTTTAAGATGAATACAACATGTTTTCCCCCCCTTAAATATTACTGTATTTGATCTAGTTTTTTATACATGTAAATAAGATACATATATAATATACGATTATGATTATAACGTAATGTAATGCTTGTATCATAATAATATATATATGTGCATGAAGAGTACGTTAAAAAACATTCGATTTTGAAGATAGTGGCCTCTGCTCGGATTTAATATTATTGTTTCCTTCTTTGATGGAGCAACAAAATCCGGTTATTCACCCTTAGAAATCACATTTCGCTTATTGCAATCAGAATGTAATTGGATCGCAGAAAAGGAAGAGAGAATCAAAATCCTTCTTGCAAGCGCAACAGCGACTGAATCAAGGTTGAGGTTTCATTATAATGTGAAACCGTTAAAAATACTATTTAATAAATATGTGATCCATGACTTTTGATCATCCTTTTTTTTATCCACTTGGACTTTTTAGGGAAACAAAGTAAAAAAATCCCTTTTGTAAAACTTAAAATCAAATATAGAGAAAATTTTGAAATTTAGATCATTTTTGAGAAATCAAATACTGAATATATATATTTTCTAATAAATATAACAATTTTTTCAACAAACAACCTAAAAATCATTACGAAATAAAACGTTAGTCACAAAAAACAAAGGTTTAAACCTTTGAAAAATATATAATTTAGATACTTATTTTTTTATTAAAATTTATACCATAAATGTTATTTAATGATACAAACAAAAGTTAGTTTTACGAGTCATATAACACTAAACTCTTTTTTTATTCATGAAAAATATATAGTTATTGTATTTTTTAAGCTAAGGTGATTCTAAAATAATATTTATTCTAGATACTCTAAATCATTTGATAATAAACACTCGATCATTCCTAATGTAATTATTAGTGCTCAAATTCAAAACTTCCAAAATAACAATCATTCTTTTAATTACTAAGATAATTTGATTCAGACTAAAATTGTTGCATTTGTGAATTCTTTCATTATAAACACGTGTACTATTGACTCTATAAAAGTTAATTTTTATTTAAGATTTATTATTAAAAAAGTAAGAACATGTTTTTTAATAACATTCAATTAATTAATTTTTAAATATATTTGACAAGTAATTGCTAACTTTGACGTGGTTGGAGAGGTAGTATGGCAAACATTGGAAATCAACGTGTAGTAGCAAATAAGAATGATCACGTGGTACAGATAGCAGATTTCATGGCTGCAATTTTACTAAATACAACACCTGGACTATACACATCCACTGCATCAATGGGACACAGACTAGGCTATGTCGTTTCCGCTTAGTGCTCCTGTAATAACTCTATACCAGAACCTTACTGTAAATTTGGTAGAGCCCTTAAACACTCCTGAATAAATGTAATGTGTTATAGATGTATTATAAATACGATATCCCTCACAGTAGCCACATAAAACACCAGTTACATAACATATTAAGCATGACATTTCCATTGTAGAAGCCATAGAAAAACATGTGGCTAATTTGCTGTGTTTAGACAAAGCAATTAGTTGCAGTTAGAAATGACAAGGAATTAAAGAAATTTGTCAAAAAACCATGATGGTGTTAGGTGCTTTTACATTGGAACCACTATCTCAATGTCATCACTCTCAACAAAACCAAACCATTCTTAAGTAGGCATTTTACAACTAAAGCTAAATGCTGTCCCATAAAATCTAAAAAGTATACAAAAAGAAAGAAAAAACCCCAAAAGGATCCAAGCATCACTTTCTTTGCAAGTTTCTCCATTTATCTTTGAGATCAACCTGATATATAACAAAAAACATATATTATAAATTATCCATCAAAATGAAAAAGTTCACACATCATATAAAGCAGGTGATATACTTACAGCAGTTCTCTCTCTAGATATTTCTTGATAGGTTTCCAATATGCGTGTCCACTGGTATCCATACCTGCATTATGAAAATAATCTTAGTGGGAAAGCAATGGTTATAAACTACCAGAACTATCTCTTCTCATATTGGTTAAACAAAACAAGTAGTAACAACTACTAAAGCAAAAACCTAGAGCAAATTTAATATGCTAACAGTATTATACACCGAAAATTAAATGCAGAACCTCAGTTATATGTTAACCACTTACTTTCGTACACCCTCTGCCAAAGCATTTTCTTCCTCGTTGGTCCATTTATTTATTTTTCTCCGTCTCATCCACCTTTTAGGTTCGTCTATGTTTAGGAGAGAGACGTGCTCTGTTCTGGGGCTTGGTAAAGTGCATCTATTTGTCCCTTGGGAAGAGTCATCAACTGAAATCTCCAACTACAACAACAATCAAAACATAAGACAGATGAAAAAATAAAACATTATATGAATAAATGAACAAATAGGGATTTAACTTAAAGAATGCAAGACAAAATATCAAATGACCATAAAAGTTCTTCCCCAGTTTTCACAAAACAATGCCAACTAAGACAGGGCATAAATAGAAATAACAGTTAAGGATATATATACATACAGAAAAAAGAAAACAGCAGGAGATTACGATTATGATTTAAAGCATGCAATGAAATGAAAAGCAATAGTTATAACAATGAGACATGCAATGTAATGCCAGTAATGATAATAATACAAATATGTGCACACACACCTCGGTGCGAGCAGTGTCATTCCTGTCCTTTAATTCAGTCCTTGGCACATTCTTGAGCCTACTAAAATCTTCATTCCCCTCCTTAGTTTGAGAGGGTACTTCGGTATGATTAGCAAATGGATTAATAACATTTCCATCTATCCTGTCATGGTCTTTTTTGTTGGGCCTACTAAAATCTTCATTCCCCTCCTTAGTTTGTGAGGGTTCTCCGGTATGACTAGCAAATGGAATAAGAACATTTCCATCTATACTGTCATGGTCTTTTTTTATGGCCTCATTAGGTGCCTCCTGTTCGTTATTACCATGGCCTTCAAAATGCAATCTTTTAGCTTCTGCCAAATATGATGCAACATCTTAGAACAACATATTATACTGCAAATTAAACATATAAATGACATAACATAATAAAAAATATTAAGACTTTGGAATAAAATCAAAAGAAGAAAGGGAAGAGGAATCTACCGTTCCCTTCGGTAGGAGCAGAAGTAGGAGCATAGGCAACATCATCAGCAGTGGTATCCCCTCGCAATCGACTGAAGGCCTCCTCTAAATAAACTCGAACTAGACGCCGCTTCATCAGCAGTTTCAATGCGTAACAGCCTCTTAACAGTGTCTCGATCCCACAGTGCCGCTTCGATATCCTTCCTCCATCTAGCTAAATCAGTCGAAAGAAGGCATGAGGCACCAGACAGCTCCAAATCCCCAATTTCCTTTTTCCAAATCCTCCGTACGGCGTCAAAATAGTCGTCCCTTGAGAAGTGTAACCACCGCAGCGTAAGATGTACAGCGCAAAAAGCTTCCCGCATGGCGTCAGAGGCATGAACGCCCCGTCCGCGGTCGAGTTCATCGACGAGGATCAAGGATTCAAGAACCCCATCATGAAATAGTAATCCGTCGTCCTTTTTTGAATTGATCGGAGAAACAAGGTTTTAGTATAGAGGCAAAATTGATCATAGTCGCTGTAGTTGCCGCCATTGTTTCCATTTGTCTGAGTATAATATTGCTGAAGAATGCGTAGCGCAGAAGGCGAAATATCCTCCATTTTTTCAACTTTTCCCTCTACTAGAATTTGAAATTGAAACCCTAAATATTTGTGTTTCTTTCGTTGATTGAAACAGGAAAGGAAGAGATCTTAGTCGAAACCCTTCTTGCAAGCAACAATGAGTGAATAAAGGTTGAGGTTAAATGTTTTAAAATTGACAATATATCTATTTTTTTTTTGTCATAAAGTTTCAATAATCCGGATTAATTTAGAGTACATCTAATTTTGGTAGTTAAGTCTTTAAGTAGAAATTTTATGTATATATAAAAGCTCGAACTTAATAACTTACTAAAATAATATTAAATTATTTATCACTTGAATAAACTTAATTCTGTTTTCTTAACAAAACATATCGATTTTATCAACAAACAACCTAAAAATTATTACAAAATGAAACGTTAGTCATAAAAAAATTAAACTTTTACAAATATTTAATTTAAACACTTATTTTCTATTAAAATTTATATAATTTAACAAGCTAAACAAAAACTAGTTTTATGAGGTATATAACACCAAACTCCTTTTTTACAAAAAAATATATAGTTATTATATTTTTTATTAAATTAAAATGATTATAAAATAATATTTGTTCTAAACATTCTTAATTATTTAACAATAAAAACTCAATTACTCATATTATAATAATTAATACTCAAATCTGAAATCTTTAAAAATAACTATTGTCTTTTTAATAATTTATATAATTTGATTCGTGCTCTAATTATTGCATTTCTAAATTCTTTCATTAAATATGTGCACTATTGACCGTGTAATTGTGAGCCGTGGATGTGATGAGTTTGTAAATAGGGAAAATATATAGGTAAACTACACGGATAATTATTCAATTATGATAAAAAAAATCATTCTGACTATTGATATTTTAATTTGATCAAACATATTATCTAACTATTTAAATGATTTAATCAAATCATTGTCTGTTAACTTTTAACGGTGGAGGTGATGTAGCAGTTAAAATTTAACTGAGTGAATGACTCTCAGTTAATATTTTGATATAATTATATAATTAGTCCTTGTTACTTACATAAGATGTCAATTTGATCATTAAATTCAATAAATTTAATCATTTATTTTTGTTTTAACTTATTAAGTATATTTTATATAAAATATTTAATAATATGGAACATTGGGTATGTAAATGCTTCGACCTCATCAGAAATATGGAATACATTGATGAATCATTGAAACTCATCTTATTATTTCAATCTTTCTTTCCTTTTTATCCTGTTTAAACATTGGGTTTCTTCTTTGTGTTGTGGTAAGTTAAAGTTATCGATATTTTTTTGTTTGGTTTCCGAGAAAACAATAGGAAATTAAGGGGAAAAAAGGGAATTTTGCAAAGACACATTTTATTATTTAAGATATATAAAATATTATTAAATATCAGTAAAGCATTTGCATACTATAATACAATATATATACATTTGTTGTCCATTATATATCAAAAGATTAAATTTATTGAATTTTATTAAAATTAAGATCAAATTGACATCTTGTGCAAGTAACAAAGACAAAATATATAATTATACCAAAAAGTTAACTGAGGAGTCATTTTCTCGGTTAAATTTTAACTGCCACCGTTAAAAGTTAATGGTCAATGGCTTTATTGAACCATTTAAATAGTTTGGTGGTTTGTATGATCAAATTGAAACATCGGTGGTGAAAATGATTTTTTATCATAGTTGAGTGGTCACCCTTGTAGTTTACCCTAATATATATATATGACTTTATTTGGGGCTGCAAAACACATTATATTTTTTTTGTTAGAGTAAACTATAGAATATGTCGCTTTCGTTTATATCTTATAAAATTCTCTCCATTGAAATAAAAAATAATAATATTTGGTCACTTTCTTTTTGTTTTGACGTGACACGATAAATATATAAAATTAAAATTATATAATTTCCACATAAATAATACGTGGATTAAGTTTTAGTAACTTTCCTTTCATACTTGCACACTTTTACTAACTAAAAAATTGATCACTTGTGCTATCGTTTTATTAAATTTTGGTCACTTGGACGTTGAATGTCGTTAGTTTGATAACATGGCCCGTTAGTAAAATTGTTTAATTTTCATTTTAACCCCCACACTTTAGAGAAAAAATTGATTATGGGTCTTTTTATAAATTCAAATTAGTTTTGGGATAAAACTCTAGAGATAAAATGAAGTTGGGTGATCTTAACTATACAAACCAAAATTCAATTTCCAAAGATTGAGATTGTAGAATGTCAAGTGCAACATGGAACAAGAAAACAAATCAATGGATCCAAATAACTCCATAACTTGATATCACTCTTTGTGGTGATTTTCCCTTAAGAAATCACATTCAGTGGATCATATTCAATGGATCAAAATAACTCAACAACTAGATCAGTGAATTCATCCATTAAATTCAATCCAAAATCCATGATCTTCAACGTCGAATCTTTGTTTTTGCTCAAGAACAATCAATTTTCTGATCAAACAACTCATCGTAGGAGCAAAACTCCAATTCTAAGTGAAATTCAATTTAATATTCGTAAATGTCGTGGAGGTCGATCACATTCGGATGTGACAAAACACTCTCGATGATCTTTCACATCACGAGGATTTCATTGGTCAATAACGCGTCAGAGATGGAAACATGGTATTGTGTCATCAATAACATCGCTATTAAAGAAGCTCTATTTTTCTCAGCTCGAGACAATGGCATTGTCGTGGTTGTGAATCTTTTCAGAGTTTTAATGGCAAATTCTCTGCATTTTTACAATCTTCATTACTTCTTTTTATACATTTTCTTACAACTGAGAACACATCTAATTTGACTTCAAATAATTACTACTAATAATTAGAAACAAGAAGACTATTGTAATGGAGCATGGATGTCTGAAGAAAAAGCAGACAGAAGATGAGCAATATTGGGGTTTACGGAGAAAAAATATTTAAAAAATTTGTAAATTGAAATGTTGTCCCTAAACTAATTTTAATTTATGAAAATACCCATAATAAGTATTTTTTCTAGAGTTTGAGAGTTAAAATAAAAATTAAACTATTTTACTAACGTTCCACGTCATCAAACTAACGACTTTCAACGTTTACGCGACCAAAACTTAATAAACAATAACGTAAGTGAACAAAACTTAATAAATAATAAGTTTTTTGTCTAGAGTTTGGGAGTTAAAATAAAAATTAAACTATTTTACTAACGTTCCACGTCATCAAACTAACTACTATGTCTTTTAAATTTGGTGAGGAAAAGTTTATAAAACTCTGAAAAATTATGTAGATTAATTTTTAAATAAATTTCATACAAAATAATTATTTAAATATTTAATTTAGTTCTGATTAAAGTTTAGAAAATTATATCATAAAAATAATTTTATTGGAACAAAGGAAATATAATATAATAGTCTTACTACTTTAAGTAAGTACTAACTTTGACCTGGTTGGAGATCAACGTGTAGCAAATAAGAAGGATCACGTGCTACTTGACTATAAACATCCACTGCAGCAATGGGACAGAGAGTAGGCTATGCTTTTCCTCTAATAACTCTATACTCAAACTAATGATTAATTTTTTTAAATCGATTCATATAATTTTTTTAAAGTAAAAAATGTATTTGCATACATATTATCTTTTAAATAAAATTTTTAAATAACTTAGACATTATATTTGTATAATAAATAATAATAATTTGTTCAATTTACCTACAACGATTTGTTAAGTGATAATTACTTTTTATAGACACTAATATAATATAATATAATATAAATAAGTTTTGCTCACTAGAGTAAATTTTTATTAGAAAGTGATGAAGACTCAAGAATCAACGGAGGAACATTACAATAACTCAAACTGATAACACCTAACCATGAAAAAAGAATATTAAAATATATCAATCGTATAAATAACTGTTTTTTTAAATATAATTAACTACGTTAATAATATGTTAAATGTAAAATCTAAATAGAGTAAATTTGAAAAGGGTTGGTGAACTTTTATTTTGATATCTTTCAATTCCGTAATGAATGATAATTTAGTAAAATTTATTCTTAAGTAATTTTATATTACACTGATTATATTATAACCAAATAAATCAAACAAGATATAACATGATTTTTCTCATCCTCTATAGTTAAGGCTGAATGATTTGTATGTTCAAAAAATGCTGGAAGTGGCTAAATGTCGACTTAATGAAGATAATGGACATATTTTACAGATTTGGGAGACTTGGAAAAAATGTGAATTTTTTTTTCCTAACACTTATTCCGAAAGTGGAATGTCCATCCGATATTTTAGAGTATAGACCAATTTTCCTGGTGAGCTGTTTGTATAAAATAATAGCGAAAGTCTTAACTAAAAGGTTAAGAGGAGTTGTGGGTCAATTAATCAGTGATACACAATGCGCCTTCTTATCAGAAAGACAAATCTTTGATGGAATTCTTGTGGCTAATGAAGTAATCCACTCATTGAATAAAGAAAGGCATGAGAAAGACGAATTAATTTTAAAGTTAGACTTCTCCAAGGCTTACGATTGTGTTTGTTGGGAGTTTCTTGATATGGTGCAACAACGAATGAGATTTGGAAGAAAATGGTTAGGGTGGATATGGGAATGCATCTCGACAGTAAAAGTCTCAGTGTTGTTAAATGGGTCTCCAACAAAAGAGTTCAAAATGCACAGGGAGACCCGTTTTCCCCGTTACTTTTTATTATGGTTACGAAGGCGTTTGATCTACTGTTGGAAATAGCAGAGCGTAAAGGAT